ACTTTGTTAATTGCTTGCTGGTATAAAAAATAATACATCACACAAGTCTTTCCATGACTCCTGTATTTGGYGTCAGCACAACTCCAGAGGTATCTCTGGAAAGGGCATAAAATCCTCACAAATAGTGGTGCCATTGACACAGTTATTAAATCAATAAATGGAGAAACCAATAGCTCCTTAAGACACTACCTCAACTATTTGCAGAGGCAACTAATGCTCCTTTTCTGAAAATCGCTTTTCTCTTGATGATTTTTCCTTCTTAATGAATAAATATGACTAATCTTTTATCTGCTAACTCAATATGGCATTTACCTTTTTTATCGAATTATGTTTTTTTATGTGGCATTTTATTTCTAGGAGTATTCTATTACAATGGCTTCTTCATGTTCAACTTAAAAATTCAGAAATGCTGAAGTCATTAACTAAATACTCTTATTGATACATCTTGTTTGCATCTAAAGCTTTTGAAATAGAGTGAAACTTAAGTAACTTATTATTTATTTTCTGGGTGGAGGGGAAGATTAAAATCTTAATGTCAATAGATTAATAGTGGACTTTCCATATGAGAATATCTGTAACATTTTCCTTGCATTTACAGGATAGATTATAAACACATGCTCTACTCTGGAAAAGTACATTGCAGTTGTATCTATATTCTTTTCCAAAAATAGAAGCCATACTGATGATCACCTGAATCTAAAACGACTATTCAGAAGTTAAGAAATCAATCCATGTAACTCATTTCAGTCCCTTCTATGTATCTAGTAGGCTGATGGCGACATCAACATTTCCGATTACATACCACTGAACACATTCACTGCACACTGGTTAATAATCCCTACGTTAACAAAATATTGTATTTACCATTATTTAGCACGTGGCCTTAATTATCTATCATTTTTCTTCCTGCTTCACTATATATGCTTTTAACAGCAAACAAAAAAAAACTTAACTCACATTAACAGCTTAATTTAAGTAACCAAAGTTCATCATTTTCAACTCATTTGTGCTCATTTCACACAGTCCATGATGGATATGAAAACGACCCTATTCAAAATACTAGCCAGCTATGTAAATAAAAATCAATATTGTAAGTGTATGGCATAGTTGAATTAGATGCTCCAAATCAAGGTGTCATCCTTGCTCAGATCAAACACCGGAGGTGTGGCAAAATATGCTATATGCTCAYAAATCTCCAATTTAAAAGTTCCCCCAGGTTACAACCAGGACCTGACAGGAATTGCTTCAGATGCAATGAGAGGTAAAAAGGAATCAGATCTATTATGTTCTATGTTCCCATTTCTCAGATCTCCTCAGTTCTTCACTCCCTCCTCAGTTAGTCATCTTATTATTCCTTTACCTCTCTCCTCTTGGACTTTATTTCCAACCTGCCAGTACAAGGTTAGGAAAAATCTTCAGAATTATACTCAAAGGTCCTCCTGTACAACATGAACTAAATTTTAAAACAGACTGGCCAGATTTAAGGAATTATTTTTACAACTAATAAAAGACATATCTGATATATTTTTCCTTATTTCAAATATCTGCAAATATGTGTACACAAACAGAAACAGACTTTTACCTTCTTAACATTAGCAAAATGAGGGAGACACCCACTGTGGGGAAATTAAAAAAGGCAGCCTAGAGGACCAACCTTTGGCAAAATTACTGGAACAGCGACTTATAATAAAATTTTATAGGTAGCAATATCTATTCCACCTATAATATAGCCTGTAAAGGTCTTTGAAGATCAAGCGAGCCTGCACACATTTACAACAGCTGAGACAWATATTTGACATATATGTATTATCAGAGTAAAATAAATCACAGTTTTTTGTTATAGTACCTAATGTGAGAAAATATATTTTAAAAAATGTCACTTACAAATAGTTTTCCTTTTCCTTTAAAATTCTGTAATGGACTGTAATGTGGCCTTCATTCAGTACTAGGTATTAACTTTCACCTTTTTTGGAAAAATTACGTATTTAATATTGTCATCTCTGAATTTATAGATACACATTCTTAAGTTATTTGCAGATGACCATATCAAGAAAAAAAAAGAAAACTAAGAAGCAACATGTGTATAGAGTAAAATTAACATATTAAAGCAACTCTACAGATAATATTATGGCTTGAAGAGGGCTACCACTTACAAAAAATGTCATAAACACACATTTATACACACACACAATTATACACACACACAAAAGAAAACATATGGCATATAGCATAATGCGATGTGTGCAGAACGGCAGTTTAGTTAAAAATAATCTTTCACCAACGACAAGATCCCCAAGATTATTGAATCTTTGTACAGATTAGCATGAGTGTTTTTCTCCTGATGCGGCCTCCTTTGGAAATACATTTTTTATTTTGGCTTACAACAAAAACATTGTTTTATTAAAGCCAGATGTCCACCATAGCACATCAAATATTTTATACATTTCAAAGTTATCTGGGCAATTTTTCTACACAACTATTTCCAGTTTAGCTAGTATATTGTATCCAACACTTTATCAAAAGATTYGCTTAAAATACACACACCCCAAAGTTAAGATGAAAAACCAAGCTAGGACTTTTCTAGAAGGAAGTCCAGTAAGCTTTGCATATCCTTATTTTTCTCTCTATAATGCTTTTCTGTAGCTCAACAGGTGACAGCACATCTGCTTTGCATAACATAACCTCATAAAAATCACAACAGAAACAGCATTTGTAAGATCTTTACAACACCCGTAACTATCATAGAATCCACGTAAGTCAGTAACCACTTAAACAGCACTTGGTGCTTCCTATAAAAACATACTTGTGGAATTACAGCCATACTTTCTCAAAATAACTGTTTTTTCTTCTAAACATGGATGGACTTCATTAGCAAGTGTTTACCACAGTATATAAATGAAGAGAATTACAGAAATGAGGGCCTGCATTCCAATGTTGCTGAAAAGGTATACGTAGAATGTATTTTTGTAGCTCTTCTGCATCAATTTTCTCACGCAGACGCTATGAAGAGCCCAAACTGTACTCACACATATGAGCATTTACTTTGACGTCTGCAAAAAAACCAACTAGCTCAAACTCCACTTCCAATGCAAGCCTGTGTTGCCTCTCTGTACTATAAACACCACATTTGGTTATCTGTTTGGCTGGTCTTTTTCCTTCCACATACTAACAAATTGGACTTCTCCGCTAGCAATTGCTCTCTCTTTTGCAGCAGTACACTTACTCGATAAACAGAACACTCTTATGTCAATTTAGGTGGCCCACAGGAATGTTTGTTCTAAATTATGGCACCTACTTAGACTGCTTTAAACCTCTGTGTGGAAATTTCTGTGACAAACAACTTGTCCTTTTCAAAAAAAGTTAGAAACAGTGATTTTCATTTATTTTTATCTAGTTTTATTTGTTGACAATAGACCATCTTTTGTCATTAAAAACAAAACAAAAAACATAAAACACTGTTAATATTAAAATACGCCCCTAATATTTATTCAGAATTGCTATCTGTTTTTAGTTAGCCACTATTTATGCCACAAAATTAAACAATCATAATTTCTATCATGTCTGGAGATTTTTATCAACAAACCTCACAAATTGCAAATGGACTGGCAGTTCACAAGCAAAGGTATACTTGTCCTCTCTTTTGTTTATTTAAAGAGTTATCATATTATTAAATCTTTTTTTTCTTTTTCTTTTTTTTTTTTTTTTGTAGAAGGAAGGAAGAGAAGCAATATCTTATATTTTACAGATCTAGCAGTACACTGCTGCCTCTCCTCACATCCCTGTTAGTGCAGCTTAGTGCAGCATACAGGAATCCAGCACACTTCTGTAAGTGCAGCAGCCTCATACTTCTCACCCATCCAGATGAAGGTTATCCAGCACCCCAGGAAAATGAGCCCAACTTTACCACCAGCCCTGCTGCCTGTACATGGCTGCTGACACAGCCAATCAAAAGAGAAGTCAAATGGGAAAATATATTTCTCCCCAATGACCGGCTGAAAGCTCATCTCAAACATCAGATCTACYGTGTGGAGATCCTGAAGTGTCTCACGATATTTCTGATTCAGGAATAAATTTGTATTGAATTATTCTGTACATTATAAAATGATGGGAAGAAAACTCTGATCTTGAGTGCAAGAAAATAAAGATTAGACAAAAGTAAGAATTTTTACTACTGGTTAGGATTCTACATATAAACATTCTCCTGTTAGAATGGAAGTTAAATTATGACGACTCTACCATTTATCATAGTACCACAGTTATAATTTGGTTTTCACATGTATACCAAGAATGAGATTTCTCTCTCTAGTCATATTAATATTCAGATTCATTTGTTTTCCACCAAGAGTTTACATTCAACATCAAAAATATGCTTCCTATTTTTATTTTTTCATTATACAGCCTCCCATTTCAAGACACTTGATTGTTTAATCTAAAATTTTCCCAACAATACTTTTTTTTTATACATAAACTTTAAATTCGCTATATATAAACACAAAATAAACACAAAACTGTTATGAGCGACATAACATTAGAAGATAGATTCTTTACACTTTCCCCCCTCTCCCCCATTCTTCTGGGAAATCATGGTAATTTATGCTCATCTCTTCACTCTTTACTTTACAAGATTCCCCACAATAATTTCTATGCTGCTTATTGCACACCTGCAGTCTGTATCAAAAGCCATCATACTGGTATCCAATAATTTAGTTTTTCTTCTAGAAAAATTTAAAGTGGGCAAAGCAAAAATATCAGAAGAATTAGTACGCAACTTGAAAAACAATTAATAGTAAGTTGAAAAACAATAATAATAATAAAAATCTTCAACACGTCTGTCTTTGAAATCCATACTACATTGACTCTTTCTTGTAGTTCTATATTGTGTACATATATATGGTAACAATTTCACACCAGACAAAATTCATCTCAGCTGCATGCAAAAAAAAATCTGTCTTTATGTAAATAACAGCCTATAAAAGATCTGAAAGTAAATGAGTACTCACTTGTTTAGTCTTTGTTTTTGTAATGGTGTCCGAAATGGGTTTCTTCCTCTCTTTAACAGCTGTTTTAGAAAACAGTTCTTCAAACTCATGAAAATCTATGGAAGGTTCTTCAATTTTTTCCCACACAAGTGAAGCACTAGAATCTCTAAAGTTAAGCAAAAGACCTATGTAGGGCAACGTCAAACTAAATAGTCAAACGGTGGAAAAAAAAGAATATAAAACATAATATACAGAATATACAAGTGATTGCCTAACCTCTACTAGCGGCATTCTGATAAAACTGTTCATTTTCTTCCATGCTTTCTTGTGTGCTTGTTTACATACACTAACGATCAGAATCACTTATAGTAACCCCCTCTACATACAGAGGAATRTAAATAGGCTCTATGTAGTCTACAAAACATATAGCATGCACACAAAGAGGTGTAGAAATGGGACAGCTGTCTGCAGAACACTCGTGACAGTGGTAAAAGAACTTGAAAGAAATAATCCATCAGTAAATAACAAGGATTGGACAACTCAGACATGAGCATACAGAAACATCTTCTAGKAGCTACAGTGATACTTTACAAACAAAAAAATCAGTATCAACAATCAAACGCAAGTTATTTCAGAAACATATCATCCAGTAAGTGCCAAAGGRCCAGCCTGATGCTATCATGCAGATAAATTCCAGTTTCAAGCTAACTGCTGAAGTACAGAGAAAGAAAACATAAAATAAATAAATAAATAAGATTTTTAGTTCACTGGACAAAGGAAGAAGGCAAGTAAGTGCTCAGCATACTTCCATTTAAAGAGAAAAGTAGCAAAACTTGCAAGCTACTCCAGAGAGAGAGAGACCCAACCTACCTCCAAAGTGAAGGTGGCAGTATAAGCAGCACATTAAATACAATCACAAAGTTCTTTGTGGCATAAAATCACACTAGATTTGTGATTAACACATGAAATGTAGCCCTTAAGGGCAGTTGCAAACATATCTCCAAAGAGCTTTCATAACTAAAGTTACTCAGTTTCTGTGTTGTAAATATAGCAGACACCGTGTTTAAATAGGCAACTATAAATAAAATTCTGTGCACGCTTAGTTTCAGAGGCCTCKGCAATAGGAGATAAGTCTTTTTCTAGCAACATACCACACTATCAAGACAGTCACAAAGTGAAAGCAACACTGACTCTGCAATTATATAGTTTACCTTTTACTGTGCAGCTGAATTCTTGTCCAATAAAGAGGCTTCATTGGTCGAGAAGGCTCTATCACTTGTTTCCTGCTCCCCTTCTCCTGATTCACACCCATCCCAAATAAACCAGATGGTAAGGGAGGAGGAAGAAACCCAGAGACTTGCGGAACTGCTGGGTAGGCGCTGCTCTGAGCTGGTGGTGGAGGAGGTGGCACAACTCCAGGAAAAGGTGGTGGGGCCAGAGGTGGCATTCCCAGGCCTGGCAGAGGAGGTGGCGGTGGAGGAGGAGGAGGGACACCTGCACCAGGCAGAGGGGGTGGTGGTGGTGGAGGAGGAGGAGGGACACCTGCACCAGGCAGAGGGGGTGGTGGTGGTGGAGGAGGAGGAGGGACACCTGCACCAGGCAGAGGTAGAGCTGGTGGGACACCTGCACTAGGCAGAGGTGGAGCTAGAGGAATAAGGACAGTTGCACCAGGCAGAGGTAGAGGAGGAGGTGGTGGTGGAGGAGGGAAACCTGCACCAGGCAGAGGAGGAGGTGGTGGTGGTGGTGGAGGGAACCCTGCACCAGGTAGAGGAGGAGGAGGTGGTGGTGGTGGAGGGAAGCTTGCACCAGGCAGAGGAGGAGGAGGTGGTGGTGGAGGGAAGCTTGCACCAGGCAGAGGAGGAGGAGGTGGTGGTGGAGGGAAGCTTGCACCAGGCAGAGGAGGAGGAGGTGGAGGAGGAGGAGGAGGAGGGGGGAAACCTCCTCCGGGTAGAGGTGGGGGAGGTGGTGGCACTCCTGCCCCAGGCAGAGGTGGTGCTGTGGGTGGGGGTGGCACTCCCAGGCCTGGCAGAGGAGGGGCTGGGGGAGGGACACTGGTGCCAGGTAAAGGTGGTGGTATGGGAGGAGTGGGGAGAACTCCACTGGGCAGAGGTGGTGGTGGAGGTGGCAGTGGGACAMCAGCATCTGGAAGAGGAGGGGCTGGAGGCGGCATCGGTATGTCTCCACTTGGCAAAGGTGGAGGAGGAGGAGGTGGAGGTGGCATCACAGTGCCTGGCAAAGAATGTTCCAGGCGTGGCATTGCTGGGCCAACGAGAGGCAGAGGGAATCCTGCATCAGGCAGGAATGGTGAGGGTGATCCTCCTGCCAGAGGTGCAGATGCTGCCAGGGTAGATGCTGGCAGTGATGGGAGAGTGCTACAAGAGGGCTCTGGTGGCACAGAGGGGGGATGTTCACTACACGTCTCATTTCCAGTACTTAGAGGTTGATGGGGAGCTGGCAATCCAGGCTCTCCTTCAAATGCAAGGGACAAATTAACTTTGGGYTCTGGAAGAGGTGACTGTGGTGTACTTTGTACTGATAGGCTTGTATCCAGTGGCACCGAGATTAGTTTCGGTGACAGAATTAAGGAGATTTCAGAACAAAATGTGGGCTGTAGTTCCAGAGTTGGCAATTGCTCAGTTGGCCCTTCACTTTTGCCCCCTTTCAAGTGCGGTGGTGAGGGTGGCTGTGGCAGTGCATTGGCTGAAGGCATTTTGTGTGTTAGATAATCTTCCGTTGGTGATGTCTGTACAGATCTTGCTTGTGACACAGTTCTGAATACAACCTCCTCTCCATTTGTTTGAAGAGTTAAACTACTGAGTTCCCTRCAGACGGAGCGTCTGTGCTCACTTTCCTGCTCCCTTATAGCAGTCTCTACTTCTCTGGCAGGATATTGTTTCTCTAGTTCTGCAATTTTGGTCCTCAAATCCTCAATAGTTTGCTCAAGTTGTTGGATGACACTGGCACGCTCTTCGGATTTCGCTTCAAAATCATCCTTAAAATAATAATAATAAAAATATAATAAGCACAAGAACAGATAACATTTGTCACTAAACTAAAAAAAGAAACAAAAGAATATTAGTATTCCATAGGTTCAGAAAGAAGACAGTTACGATAAGCATTTGAAAACAGGAATATCATTTTGCCTAGGTGTATCTTACAGTAGAAGAAGAGAGTTTAGAAAARTGAACCTCTTTTGCCAGTGCTAGCACTCTGTGGATTATGATACATTTTTTCTCAAAACTAAAAATTATCAACAATTCCTCTCTCCCTCCAAACGCATTGATCAAGAAAACAATCGACCATTGAATAAAAGTACCACAGAAGTGTGTGTGCGCACACATGGACATGCTGATAGAGAGGCAAGAAGGGCACTTCAGTTTTGTTAACTGAAGATGTCTCCACCCACACAGCTCTGAGAACAATAYATTATGCATGACAGCTCAGCAAACTTTTGAAAGATAGATTTCAATATATATTTTAAGAATATATTACAAATTTAAAAGGCAGGGTACTATGAGCGTTCACTCTTTAAAAASAGCTAGCCTCAGAACAGAGTAAAGCATGCTTTTCTCCATGCTGCACACTTGGGAAGGAAAGAAAGCCAATGCTAAGAGAACTTTCCTCCCCCCTAAGATCTGAAACTTCTTGTCTAGTGACGCAATGTTGGCGAGTGAGTAATGTTAGAAAAGCTTCCTTTGTGGGATGGTTATTCTGTATAATAGATAATTTTCATATTGTTTTATATCTTTTTCTTAAGCATTTGATCCTGTCTGATGTAGAATGAATAAAGAAACTATTAGGCTTAGCACAGAAATTCCTACATTCTTAAATAAACATTAGTACCAAAGTATAGTCAATGTAATGGCTATGTGGTTTATCAGAAAGTACCATGGGAAACCCTTTAGTCCAAAAAGAACCATTTAAACTTACTCAGGGAGCACAGATAAGGAGGCAGAGGAGACATGACCTTATAACACAAAGACTTTCAATAAAAAACTTGCTAACATGGAACTTTTTTTCTTGTTCTTTTAAGTGATTTTTTTTTTTTTTGATGTAGAATTTTGGTCACCAATATCATCACTTCAAGTCATAAGAATTTTTCATCATGAAACAGGTTTCACAAGGGGTTATGACAAATAAGTGCCCTAACCACTGTGTCTTTTTATCTTTTTTYTTTTTTTAAATAAACTTCATGGATGAGCCTGTAGACTTTTTTCCCATAGGGAATCTCTCAAATATTCAGATTTTACAAACTTTGTAAAGAAGCCTCCTAAGAAATATACAATACTAGACTAATACTAATTGCTTTGTTTTTTTTTTTCATGAATATATTTCCCTTGACACACGAAACACCTACAAGTCATTTTTTTTTTTCCTGGAAAAATGGACTTGTAACTTCCAGCTGGGGGCTATTAATAGATTATATCTTCATTCAAGCTTTTTATTTCTTATATTTTTGGCTGTACAGAGCTGGCTTTCAAACATAGAATTTCAATATTTAACCTTTATCCTTTTTTAAAATGATAAGTTTTCCAGTTTTCCAAGTTAATTCCATAATTAAAAAACAACTTTCATATGCAAACCCAGTTAATTGATTCTGAAACAACATCATTAAAATTTACAGTCCTCTGCATTGTCTGATCCTCCGGAATGGTGGTCTGAAACCAAAGTTTTGGATTAAAATCACGTGTCCCTACGAACATCTAATCTCTGTACCAAAGTTTGAAGAGGAATGTAAAGCACTTCGAGGGAAGAAACTTAGAAAAGGGTTTGGATGAGTGGTGAAGAACTGAACAGAGCACACATTAACAAACAATATTACCTCATAAAATGCTAAAAAAAAAAAAGACTGAAAAGGATGTTTCCATTAAAGGTTATTCATACTACTTTAAGTCAACACACGCGGTTTCCTGCAATAACTCAGTACTTTGTAGTAGCAAAGTTTTGCTGAAGAACTTCAGTAAAAKGGCAAACTTAGCATAAGATCTCTTACAAAGAAAAGTGAATATTCTATTACCCTTAGAGTTCAACTTCTCCAGCAGTCTTCTGCAAACAGAATAAGACCTATCAATACTTGAAAAGACAATGATATCAAAGGAAATGTGCTCCTAAGATTAAGCCCACAAGTCAGCCTTCAGTTATTTGAGAACAAACACAATATTATCCAACTGTGACTCTCTTCCTTTTACATTAAGAGAACAATTTACCAAGRGCTTTATGAGAATTACAGCTTCCCAATTCTATCTGAAATGGAAAGTTAATTCCTGCCACAAACAAACTGAAGTCAATGTATTAGACACAATATTAAATGGCTCCAAAGAGATTTACCTTCACGATGGCTGATCTCAGAAGAACAGTTCACTGCTTTAAAAATTCRTTTATTCAGGAGATTGGATTCAATTTTATACAAGAACAAAAGGTAATCCTTGAATCTTGAAATTCTACCTGAGCTATAGGAAAAACCTAGAATTCAATGTTATATGTGAGAATTCACCCTGCAGACCATTAAACTTATTATAAGAGAAGTATTTTTATAATTTAAATAAATGGGTAAACAAGTGACATGATTAGGAAATTGCAGAGAACAAATAAAAATGTCTTGATGGATGAAAGTGACCTTTTGCTCCATGCCCTAAGAGACTATTTTTGCTGTCCTTGAGACATAACATTGTATAATTTCAAACAATATGGTAAATTTGCTGTTGTGTTATCTAAGAATCTCTGATCTATTTTTTTGTTCTCACAGTGATAGCACATTATGAACAAATGAGGCTTTGCTATGAATGTTGAGATATTTATCCAGAGAAACTTAAATGCTTTAAATGTATTGGGGGAGGGAGCATTTATATATTTCAATGGTTATTTCAGACAAGTTGAGATATTTTTTATTTTGCATTCTAAGATGCACTCAGCCTAAAGTCTCATTAGATTAATGCCTTTTCTCCAGCCAGAGGTTTGCGTTCTTTCCCTAGAAATCAGAAAGGTTTTTATCAAACCTTCATCAAAGGTTTGTTTCCACTACCCTTAGCAAGGATAGTAGGAAGGATGGATGGAAGGATAGATGAAAGGAAGGATAGATGAAGAAAAAAAAGAGTATGGCTGATCAGACATGAAAATCAGACAGTTTGCTCATAAAAGTAAGCTAAGATATATTTTTCCATATATGTTAAAAATGTTCAAAACCTGTTCCCATGAACCAGAAGACCCACTTAAAAAAAAAAAAGGAAAAGAAGATTCAGTTTTAAACTAACGGACAATTCCACAGCAGGAGCCTGCCGGGTTTAAGAGAGATATGAGGGAACTCTGTCTTGACTAGAGTTCTTACCCACGACCCAGGTACTGTGGAACAGTCTTCTTTCTGTAAAGAAAGAAAGAAATGTGGAAGCTTAACCCTTGCTTTTTCTGGGTGACTTGAGTTTGAGAGTTGTTGATAGGACAAAAGGATCCAAAGGTGTATGTATGGTTATACAAAGGTGATCAGCATTTCCGCAAAAAACTTGCATGTGTTCCATGTGTAGTAAGTCGAATGCATCTGGGACTGTTGGTTGTGTTTGTGTTGTAGTGGCAGAACTTTGTATCTACAGTATCAGATACATCTAGAAATACTGGCTTTACCACATGGCATCCCGTACAGTACATCCCATTCATTCAAACCTTGCCATGTTTAACATGTATGCACATCAGATGTCCATCATACTGCTGATCTATGTAGGTAGAACATGTCCAGAATCTTCACACATCTAGAAGTTCAGGCCACAGCTACCTCTAATGAGTCTGGCTGAGGACCTCGTTTCTAGACAAGTGTCTGAAGCCCACAGATCCTACCACGACTAAATTTCCAGGTACAAAAAGAGCATATATCTGTGAAAGTTATCACTAGCCAATATACTTAACTTGCATTTACTTATATATTTTACGAACAGCAATAATAAGTTTTCATCTTCCAAAAATAGAATGACAATTCTTAAAAATAATTTTGGAATAGTTGGTAAATGATAGTTCAATTTTAAACCAAACTTACTATTATAAGCCAAAAGCATCATCAATTTGATCATTTCCAGCAATTTTTCATTTAATATCATGAAATTTCCTCTCTGGGTAGAATCCATATTTAGCATATATGTGTGTGTGTGTGTGTGTATATATATATATATATATTTATATATATTAGTTTTTCCCCGAAAACATTAACCTATGGGTTATAAGGGTTCCCTTATAGTATAAGGCATAAATGACAGCCTGTGCTGCTACCTGAGTGCAAACAGGCACACGAAATCAAAGCACATTCGAAAACTAAGACGGAAAGACCTCTCAAGTTCTCCGATACAGCTGCACCTGTTACCAACAGCATCCGGTTACTCAGAGTGGTACCCTTTCCAATCAATCTATYAATAAAAGACTTCTTTTTGTATAAAACAAACAAATATCCTTAAGTGTTTACGCTCAAGAGTTTATACACAATGACATGAATTAGTGTCCCTGTAAAAATTTTAATCCTTCCAGTCAGAAAAAAAAGTCATTTCTTCAGATTCCCCCCCACCCTCTCCCTCTCTCTCACTAACCCACTTGTAATGCTATTTCTTAYGACTGCAAATCAAGCTAAAGAAAAGGAAATGTGGCATTGTAGCAAGCATTTCCAATCTCCAGGTATTATCATATAAGAAGTTTTGACAAGTACTTGATTTGCATTAAAAACATAACAAAACATCATCTGATTAATTTTCATATTTCACCTAAACTGCAAAGCTCATCAGAGCATTTCAGTTTTACGGAAGTAGAGATTGAGTCAGAAGCTGGCCAGCTTGCCTACAGCTTCAGGGAGAACTGCTGAAGGTGTAGGATTAGTATTGGATACTATCTTCTTCCTCAAACTACTAGGTCAAATCTCTTTGGAGAAGCTTTTTTTATACCAAAGGCCCATTTATGGGGAAAAGGATGTGTTCGAAGGGCATGAGCTATGCTCCATGCATTTTTGTACAGCTACAAGGAAAT